TTCGCAACCGAGCCACATGAGCGGCCAGCCATTGTGTGTGTGCAGCTTGCGCAAGGGGGCTTGCATGCATGGGCATATACAGGTCAACTTACAATCAAGCTGTGTGTGCCAGCCCGCTACTTGTACAAGTCAAGCTGCATGCATGTAGCCCTGTTTCCCCCTCCCCCCAAGCTGCCCTATACCATTTCAGACAAATAATTGTCCAATCGGGAGGCAAATTGTTCCACTGGTTAATTGTTCTAATTGTCAAGAAGTTTCTCCTTAGTGTAGGTTGCTTCTCTCCTTGGTTAGTTTCCATCCGTTGCTTCTTGTCCTGCCCTCAGGCACTTTGGAGAATAGTTTGACTCCCTCTTATTTGTGGCAGCCCCTGAGATATTGGAACACTGCTATGATGGCTATTTTAGACAATTTTAGTTGAACTGATCTGCCTCTGACCATCAGAAGCAAAAATACCAAATTACAACGCAAATGGCAAAATCCACTCGGCATGAAACCTTGTTGAGGCTGTTGTCATCTCAAAATCCGTGTAAAGTCATTTTTCTGTGTCAGGGAACGTGGTGCCCAGAAGCTCACCCAGATTACAGTGTGCCTCTGAAAGCCATAATTAAGGAATACAGATAAATGAACCTCCTCATTTAATCTGTGGGGTGATCATAAAGTAAACTCAACCGATCTTGGATGATGTAACCCTCAAGAGAAAGACTTTTGAAAGAGATCTGTTTGTTCAGAACTTGTTGGTCCAGTTAAATAGTGAATAAAAAAAATGATCGGTTGACCGATCATACCTGTTGAAATGGTATAAGAGAAGGCATCGTGGTGTACGTGTCACCTATTGTTAAAAGAACTACAGGGCAATATAGAGCTCACGGACCAAGAAGAAAGCAAATTAAGCTTTAAGACAATTTTCTTTGGCCAGATAGGGGAAAAGAAATCCCATCTCTGATCTCAGGACCTTTCCACCATGGAAACGATATTGGGCCAAACCCTGTGGATGTTGGTATTTTACTTTTGCATTTCAATCACGTTGTTATTCCTCGGGTGGATCCTTTACTTTAATATCATCGGCATGCATATCCCGCCAGGAATCAGCCAGGGGAGAAAACTGCGCCTTCTCTATTTGTTTGTAAGAATTCTTTTCGGACTGGTAAGTCTCTGCCTTTGGACTCTAGCTTTGCTTTCAGTTGGTTCGGCTGAATGGCACAGTCCTACACTTGGTGTACCTGAGGATGCACAAGCAAGCTCAGAGAGCACCAAGGACCCCTCCTTTCAACCCTGAGCTCCAAATAGTCTCTTTTATTAGAACTCGCTCTGGATAGCATCTAAACCAGTGGTTCTCAACGTTTGTGTGACAGCGACCCCCATCACACAAACGTGCTGCGCATGCGCAGTGCGCATGCGCGGCGGCACCCCCTGAGGGGGGAAAATGGCGGATCGCCTTCTTTGGTGACCCCTGTAAAATGGACGATCGACCCCAAATGGGTCGCGACCCATAGGTTGAGAACCGCTGATCTAAACAGATCCTTTGTGTGTTATTCTTTGGTTTCTTTCTTGTCTTTCCCCTGTGCAGGCCAGGATTCTGGATAAACTTGGCATCTGCCATGAATTTTTCATATGGAGGCTCCTTTGGAATGGAATACATCCCAGGAAACCATCTGACTTGATTGTCAAGGAAATGCTTTTTGACAGAGTGCCGGTGATGGTCTGTTGTCCCAAAAGAGCAAGTCCAGAGAACAGACGAGGACTTGTCTGGATCCATGGAGGAGCAGGCTTGTTTGGAAGCCCCCGTAGGTTTTCCAAATAATTGTTTGATTGATATGAAAGAAGGACGGACAAATGTTTGGCTTAAGGCAGTGATGGCGAACCTATGGCACGTGTGCCAGAGGCGGCACTTAGCGCCCTCTCTGTGGGCACACTTGCCGCCATCGTCAGCTTGCACAGGTCCATTAGGCCGCCGCTGGCACCCAGAGCGGCAACCCCACCCAGCACAAAGGAGGTGAAGCAGCTGGCTAGCAAGCTCAAGGAGAGGTGGTAGAGCACGCCCCCATGTGTCGCTGGCCTGTGTGCGGGGGCTGATGGTATCAGGCAGCAGCCGCCCCTGTCTCGCCTTGCCCTGCAGCAATGGCACCCCCGCCCTACCCCTGCCTCACCCCTCAGGACGAACCTCCTGCCAACGCCACATCCACCAGAGACCCCCTGGATCTCCCCCAATTCTGCCAGCCCCCACAGGCATCCCCCCACAAGCAACATCAAAATGGCCACACCCACCCCAGCCATGCCCACTCAATCTGCCATGACCACAGCAGCCACACCCACCCAGTGGGCTACGCCTACCCCCAATGCGGCCTTGGCACTTTGTGATGAATAAGTCGGTTTTGGATTGTGGTTTGGGCACTCGGTCTCTAAAGGGTTCGCCATCCCTGGCCTAAGGGGTACCCTGATTCTTCTGCAGCATGCCAAGGACCAAAGGGGAAAAATGCATGTGCTCAGATAAAAACATACAAGTTAGGGGTGGGAGAAATGGGACATTCTCATCTGAACATCAATTCAAACAATTCTTTGTGATATTTCAGGATCCCACGAAAGGCTGTGCCACTTCATTGCCCGGCAAAGTGACACTGTGATCGCATGCATCGGGTAAGTGAGTTCAAGCTGACTTGTGTCACAGAAGGCACAAAAGCCAACTGCCATAACCTCTCTCTCTCTCTAGACCAGAGGTTCTCAAAGGGGTCGCCTAAGACCATCGGAAAACACATATTTCCGATGGTCATAGGAACCTAGACACCGCTCCTCTATCCATCTCCGCACAGCTTCGAACTGGGGACCGTTGCAGTGCCAGATTCGTTTCTGTCGAGCATCTCCTAAGGGAGGCTGCGCTGCTTCGCGGCCTTTTCTGTGGAGGAAGCTGAATTAAGCTCTGCCAGTGCTGTCACCCTCTTGGCTCTCTCTCTCTCGCTCTCTCTCTCGCTCTCTCTCCCCGTCTGGGCGCTTTTCCAACCAGGCTGGGCGAAGTCTAGTCCTAGACTTAGAACAGTTCATTTAGTGACTGTCCAAATTTACAATATTTAAGAATACAGCCCCAAACCTCTTATGCAAACAGAATGCATCCTGTCAGTTGTAGGACAAATAACATGAGCAAGCATTTTATTTCCTCCCTGGATACAATTCCTGCAGCTGCAGAAAAAGCAGCAAAAATAGAAAAAAAGGAGAGGGAATGTGCATTTCATTAATGGAGAACAAAGCAACTGGGAGTAACTCAGACTTAAGAGGAAAATACTGAAATAGGCTCAAAATAAATAAAAATAAAAATAGTTGAGACTGAGCGAAGCAAACTGCCAGAAAGTGGATTTTACTACAGAAGCCAGACAGAGAAGTGATTCAGCAATGACTTCTGGACTAGCTAGTAAAAATCACCTAAATGCATGGTACAATTTATACTCTTTTTCCTATTTTAAGTTTTGATGAGATTTATAAGAAGTTTGTTCTTCTTAATTTCCTAGCTTGGTTTTTTTCCCTTTCAGCAGGATTGATTAATCCTATGACCCAGGGAAGGAAATAACTTGTTGATGAGGTTTTTGTGTATCTAGGTTAATCTTGTTGTAGGCGCTGGTGTGTCTGGGGTTAATCCTGTTATTGGTTTCTATGTGTATATAGGGCAGTGGTGGCGAACCTATGGCACGGGTGCCAGAGGCGGCACACAGAGCCCTCTCTGTGGGCATGCGTTCTATCGCCCCAGTCCTAGGCCTTCAGCTGGGTTTTATAAAACCTTTTCGCTTTAGGCCTCTTCTGCCATGTGCAAAAAAAAAAAAAGGTTCAGTCAATTTCAGCTTCTTGCAGGAAAAAAAAAGATCTTGCAAAGTTGGAATTGCTTGATTGAACTTTTTAGTCCCACCCAGTCTTCCGTTACCACCGCAGCCACACCCAGCCAATGGGCCACACCCACCCGGCACTCAACGATGGATAAGTGGGTTTTGGGTTGCAGTTTGGGCACTCGGTCTCTAAAAGGTTCGCCATCACTGAGATAGGGCAAACCTGTCAGCTTTCTTTTGGTTTGTTCAAGGCTAGTGCTTATCACAGGTGGGGGAGGAAGAGAGAGGAGAGGAGAGGGGAGAGAGAAAGAGAGAGAGAGAGAGAGAGAGAGAGAGAGGGAGAGAGAGAGAGAGAGAGAGAGAGAGACTCTTCTCTGGTACTTTTGTTTTTTGGCTTGACTTTTCTAAGAGAGGGAAATGGATGTTTCTTTTGGAGCAGCCTTTCGTATTTGTAATAGTTGGTTTCTGGGCCTAGGCTTTCTACCTCTTTTCCTATTGTTCCTGCCTGTTTAATATTTCCCAAAGGTATTTCTTTTTCATGGGTATCTAGATGCTAACTTCTAATTATTGATTGAATCAATGATCCATCACAGCCATGGAGCAAGTTTCAGATTAACTCTGGAGTTCAGAGATCTCAAACCAGGAGTGGGGAACCTTGGCTCTTTGATGACTCGTGGACTTCAACTCCCAGAATTCCTGAGCCAGCCTGGCTCAGCTTGGAAACCTCTCCCTTTCCCCTCAGCATGGCTGCCTCAGGAATTCTGGGAGTTGAAGTCCACCAGTCATAAAAGAGCCCAGGTTGCCCTCCCCTGTCTTAAACGGTTGCTCCGCGGGGATTGCATCCCACGAGGGAAGCCGAGCGAGGGATTTCCTTTGGAAACAGGCCTTTGTAAGTCTAATCAGACAGGCTAAAGCTGACAGCTGCTCTTTACTAAACTCCCCCCCCCCAAAAGCAACGTTGCAAAAAGAGAAACCAGTGAAGGAGCCAAACGTTTTCCTTCAACCTTCTCCAGAGGAAAGAGGAACGCGACATCCGCCAGGCGTTTTTTCTCCAAATTGGCACCCAAAGCAAAGGGAAAAAACTGCTGCGGAGTTTTGAAAAACTGCCAGGGCTGCTGCAACCCTACCCAGAACAAAGGGTCCCCTGCAGCCCAGCCTCATCCTGCACAGACGCTATGACGCCCGCACACTTACTTGTCCAAGATGAAGTACAGATTGAAGACCCGTAGCAGGCGGCGCCCCTCTCCTCTTGCTGCCTCCCTCGCCCATCACAGGGGACCATCAGGGTGTTCAGAAAGGAGGGGAAAAGGCTGTCTGGAGGTGGGGTTTTGGGTTTTTTTTTTTCACATTTCCCTTCTGCTCAGCTTTCTCTCTGATCCGTTTTCAGGGCACCTCTGCCTTGCGCTTCCAGCACAGCACAGCCACTGTCAGCCAGACAATTGGCTATTTCCGGTTCCTGTTGCTTTGCTTTGCCCCAGATTTGAGGAACATGGAAGCCTCCTCCCTCCTCCTGGCCCCCTCCCCGCAAAGGAAAGAGCCAAAATCCAGGGCTGATCTTGGCGCTTCTGCTGAGCCCTGACAGCCCTGCAGCTCCAGCCGTCTCTCGTTCAGGCTTGTGCGGTGCTGCCGCCGGTTCAGCTCATTCCCCTCCCCCCACTACCACTTCTAGGATGGTCCCGTACCACCTGCCACAGGTGGTACGCGTTTCACCAGCTGAAAAGCCCTGTGCTGAAATACTGACAGCCATAAGGAACTAACAAGGATGCCGCGGGTTACTTCAGAGTAGTTTACAGAATTACAGCTAGTCTTTGACTTACAATCACAACTGAGCCCAAAATTTCTGTTGTTTTGTGAGACAGTTAAGTGCCCTATTTTATGTCTTAACATAAAATGCCACAGTTGTTAAGTGAATCACTGCAATTTTGTTATGTTAGCAACGCAGTTGTTAACTGAATCCCACTGACTTTGCTTGTCAGAAGGTCACAAAAGGGGATCACATGAGCCTGAGACACTGCAGCTGTCATAAATATCAGTTCCCAGGTGCCCTAATTTTGATCATGTGACCACAGGGATGCTGCAACGGTCATGTGAAAAACGGTCCTAAGTCACTTTTTTCAGTGATGTTGTAATTTTGAACAGTTATTAAATGAACTGTTGTAAGTTGAGGACTGCCTCTATTGGTTGTTGCATGCTGCCCAGTCTTTTTGGGGTGGGGCAGCTATAATTTATTCATCTTCAGAATAGGAATGCCAGTGTATTTCTAAGATTGTATTTTGACTGACTGTTGCTTCAGATACCCCTTGGCGCCAGAGCACCCCTATCCAGCTCAACAACTCAGCTGCTACACTGCCGTATCACATTTTCTGAAGAATGCGCAGGACTACGGGGTGGACCCGAAACGGATCGTGCTGGCTGGCGACAGCAGCGGAGGCACACTTGTTGCCAGCACTGCTCAGCAACTTCTGATGACAAAGGACCTGCCACAGCCCCAGGCCCACATACTAATCAATCCTTACCTACAATGCCTGGATGTAAATTTACCTTCTTACCAGCAAAACCAGTCCATTCCCCCCTTAGTCAAGAAAGAGGCTGTTCGTCTTGGCACAATGTATCTCTCAGGAACCAGTGCTGGGGTCAATGAAATTATGGCCAATGCCCATGTCCCGCAGGAACTCATGGCAAAGTATCAGAAATGGATCAGTGCAGAACATATTCCGGAGGAATTTAAAGGCCGGGGTTACGTGCCGTTTGTACCTGGTCCATTTTCAGAAGATCTTTTCCAAAAATACAAAACAGTTTTCGACCCCATATTTTCCCCACTCCTGGCAGAAGACGCCGTCATCCAGCAGTTTCCAGAGACTTTCCTTTTAACCTGCGAATATGACATTTTCCGAGATGATGGCTTGCTCTATAAGAAGAGGCTGGAAGACAATGGTGTCCCTGTCACCTGGCTTCACCTCAAGGACGGATTCCATGGCATCACCTTGCTGATAGATATGGGGTCAATCCAGTTTCCAAGTACGAGGAAGAGTATGAATAGTGTAATCCAATTCCTAGAACGATTCTAGAAATCAAACAACCTCGTTCCTCTTCCTTGTTCATCTAGCCCTTACCTTACAGATCTGGATCTGAAGAGGTTATACCCTATAATTTCATTCATCTGTCCTGCTTAACTGACCTGAAGATGGTCCACCAACCCTTTGAAGAGACACATCCTTGCCCTCTCCAGCTCGTTCATAGCCCACCACTCAGGTAGCCTGGTGTCAGGCTGTGCAGGAAACTGTGGTTTTCCCTCTTACTCAAAAAACAGAATTTCCCATATGACAATCTAAGTGGCACAGAGGAACAGTTGGGTGAGTGGCCAGACGTCTAACTTTTGCGCTCTCCTTCTCCCTATAGTCAGGACAGTGGTTCTTTGGAATATCAAACTGTTGTGGAAAAAACCACGATACTTACATCAGAAGAGAAGACCACGAAGGGTTGGAGAAAACAGGCTTTATTTGTGCACAATGGTTCAGAGCATTCACATGACAAATTCTGAACCCTGAGCTATTCTCAGGGAGTAGTTCTTATAGCATTAACCACCCACGCCTTAGCCTTAGGGTGGCTCTTATCTACCTTTGACACACTAAAACAGAGAAGTTTATATCTTGAAGCTACATAAGTAAAAGGAGAAGTTCACACAAACGGTTGTCTTACCACACCTTTCTGCACGGGTGCTATCTTACAACATCTGTGACTTTTAGTTGACACTGACACTTCTTGTAAAATGGTTTCTACATAGCATGAACACATCTCTATAATTATGACACACAGATTATATGATTTAGGTTACATTGCACAGCCAAACTTAATATTATCTATTAACTATTATCAGCAACAAGCATTTCTATTAAGATATAGATATATTTTGATGAACTTTGCCTGCCCACCTCAAAACTTATGGAGAATGTTGAACATGACAGCACAAGGAAACAAAAGCCCATCACCAGCCATCAACATCCCAATGAACCAATAGGAAGGCATCACATAATTGCGACTCACAGAATAGCCCAAAGTGCATATAGGTAGTCCTTGACTAACGATAACAATTGAGCCCAAAATTTCTGTTGCTAAGTGAAACATTTGCTAAGTGAATTTGCCTCATTTTACGACCTTTCTTGTCACAGCTGCTAAGTGAATCACTATAGTTGTTAAATTAGTAACACGGTTGTTAAGTGAATCTGACTTCCCCATTGACAGAAGGCAGCAAAAAGTAATTACATGACCCCAGGACACTGCAACCATCATAAATATGAGTCAGTTGCCAAGTTTCGGAATTTTGATCATGTGACTCTGGGGATACTGCAGCGGTCTTAAGTGTGAAAAACGGTTATAATCACTTTTTTCAGTGCCGCTGTAACTTTGAACAGTCACTAAACGAAGTGTTGTAAGTCAAGGACTACCTGTATTCCAGTAAAGAGAGGTTTCATGAGGATGGGCTCGGCAAGGGTTTGAATGCTCAGAACAGTAAACCTCTGGTCCTGGTGACCGACTCAGATTGGATCTTGCAACGTTATCCTGGGAGATGTATATGTGCCTTCATTTGTCATGGAAAACCCAGTGCAGCTCTTTCAGGAGACCATTATTCCCACAGGCAGACCAAAAAATGAACGAAAAAAGGGAATCAGCCCCCAAAAGCTCTGGAGGCCTATTGTGCTAGCCTCCCCCTCACCCATTGGCATAGGTTCTGTTTCCTAACAGGACCTTGCCTTGAACCGTGCCTTCCTCTCCTCTGTCTCTGAAGAGGCGTTTCTCTCCAAGAAGACTGATGCAGTAAGATCTTAAGGGACCTCTCCTTGTTGACGCTTCCATCTCGACTCTTCCTGTATCCGCTTTCCTTGCTCCCCCTTTGCTTTAGCTGCAGGTGGTCCCCGGTTGCTGAGCTTCTAGAATAGTGACAACTGACTTCATGTAAACCTTTTGAGCTTCAGTAAAGACTCAAGCAACAAATCCCAGTCTGTTTCATTTCTATTTCATTTCAGATTCATTTCTGCCCACCGCAAAGGGCAAGGAGAGAAAAGGGGAAGGTGGCGCAGAGGTGTTGTAAATGGCATGGCTATGTTGACAGAATGGGGTATGTGGGTCCGTGTCTGTGTGTGTGTTGGAAGGGCACGAACTAGCAAGCCCCTTTGGTGGGCAGAAGATTGTCAGTCCCTCATGAAACGGTGTGTGTGTTTGTGTGTCCCTGTCCGCAGCTCCTCTGCGATCAGGGACTGCAGGGGAAAAAGTCAGGGAATTGCACAGCCGGTGTCCAAATGGAGGCAGAGATGCTGACACAAACATATAGTTTTATATAAATAAACATATTAATAGTAAATAAGATAATCAGGCAAACAGCAGCATATCAGGTAAATCAACGTATTATGAGGTAAATTATAGAGGGCACTCAGAGGAAAAAAGGCGGGAAACAAAGAACCTCCCCCTTTTCACTCAAGGTAACCAATCAAAGCTTAGATTGCCTCATACAGTAGCCAGCCCTCTTCAACCAATCAGCTATAACTGTGTGTTCTGATTCATTGTCCAACCCTTCACTGCTCCTGCTATTAAATTAAATATCTTAAAAAAGAAGAGGAAAATGTGGAGAGGAAAGATGAACCAAGCCCCAGATTCGTCCTCAACCTGAATTAGGCAAAACAGCAACTGCCTCATCGGACAAGCCAGAATGGGTCTGTGAAAACCCAGGTAGTCCTCGACTTACAAATGCAATTGAGCCCAAAATTTCTGTTGCTCAGTTAGACAGTTGTTAAGTGAATTTTGCCCCATTTTACAACCTCTCTTGCTGTGTTTGTTAAATGAATCACTGCAGTTGTTAAGTTAGTAACACCGTTGTGAATCTAGTTTCCTCATTGACTTTGCTTGTTAGAAGTTCACAAGAGGTAATCACATGATTCCGGCACACTGCAACTGTCATAAATATGAACCATCCAAAGAAATATCTTGTCTAGTTTAATGAAGAGAAGGACTAGGTGTCACATGATAGCAGTGTTCCAATATTTCAGGGGTTTCCAGAGAGAAGAGGAAGTCAGTCTATTCTCCAAAGCACCAGAAGGCTGGACAAGAAACCATGGATGGAAACTAATCAAGGAGAGAAGCAACCTGGAACTAAGGAGAAACTTCCTGACAGTTAGAACAATTAATCAGTGGAACAACCTGCCTCCAGAAGCTGTGAATGCTCCAACACTGGAAGTTTTTAAGAAGAGACTGGACAGCCATTTATCTGAAATGGTATAAGGCAAAGGTCCCCAATCTTTTGGGCACCAGGGACTGGTTCCATGGAGAGAGGTTTTTCCATGGACTGGAGGGTGTGTGGTTTTGTGTGCTGCCTGCATCCCATGGATGGGCCGTTGCTTGTTTGTGTGGCCCAGTTGCTGGCATGCTGCAGCCTGGTACCGGTCCACAGACCGGGGGTTGGGGACCCCATGTATAGGTTTGCTGCCTGAGCAGAGAGTTGGACTAGAAGACCTCCAAGGTCCCTTCCAACATTATCATTATCATCAGCAGCATCCAAATTTTGATCACATGACTGCGGGGATGACGTTGTAACTTCAAACAGTCACTGAATGAACTGTTGTAGCTTGAGGACTACCTGCACTTGACTTTGCAGAAGAGTTTCCTTTAAGCCAAGCAGCCTTTCTCTCCTGGAATTCCCTAAAGTTGTTTTTAAGAGGGACAACAGGATGGCACCAGGAGGAGGAGACTTTGCCCCATGGTGGGGGGAAGGGCCACTCCCAAAGGTTTCATGTAGAGCAAGGGTGTCAAACTCAATTTCATTGAGGGCCTCATCAGCATTATGGTTG